GGACATGACAATTTCGTTTATCCATTAATATATTGGTGAAAACTTAGTTTACTTTCATGGTTTAGATATTTTGATTAATACTGCAGTGAGCATTGATGTACAAGTATCTGTTTAGTTCTCTGCTATCAATATTTTTAGGACATAACTTGAAGTGAAATTGCAGATTGTGTAGTAATTCTATGTTTAACTTTTTAAGGAACCATCAAGTTGCTTGCCTGAGTAGCAGTTGAGTTGTAATCTCTCCACATCCTTGTCAACATTTGTTATTTTCTGTTGATAGCTATCTTATATACTAGTTGCCATGAAATCAATTCTGACTCATGGTGACCCCATATCTGTCAGAGTACAACTATGCTCCATTTGGAATTTCCAGTGGCTGATTTTTCAGAAGAAGATCACCAGGTCTTTCTTCCAAGATGTCTCTGGGAGGACTTGATCATCCAAATTTTCACTTAGCTTTTTAGTGGGGTAAAGTGATACCTGTTGTAGTTTTTATTTTTCGATCTGTATTTTCCTTATTGACTAATGAAGGCAAGAATAATTTCATTTTCTTATTGGCCATTTCTATATCTTATTTGGAGAAACGTCTATTCAAGTTATTTTTAAGAGGAAGCTATGATTCCTGAAATTCATCCTCTTCCTCTCTCTGTTAGTGACACACTCCCTCCTTTGATCCTTTCACATCATCTCTCTGCTATGATCATCTTCTTTTTCCCTATCTTTCCTTTCCTTGCTTGGTGAGCTTCTCTCACTGCTACTCTATCATGTTCTTGCTGTTGTTGTTATGTGCCGTTGAGTCGGACCCGACTCATAGTGAGCCCTCCTTGGGTTTCTGAGGCAGTATCACTACAGAAGTAGATTGCCCCATCTTCCTTCCGAGGAGTGGCTGGTGGGTTTGAACCACCAGCCTTCTGGTTAGCAGTCAAGTGCCTTAGCCACTATGCTACCAGAGCTCCCAAACTCCACTCTATCATAGCTTCCCCAAAATCCTTTTCATCTCTTTCTACTCTTTCTTTCTCCTTTTTCTACTTACTGCTTCTTTTCTGTGTCATATTTCATCCCTCTTCTTTCTGCTCAAATGACCTTTAACAAGAACAGCCTGTTTAGCAAGACAATCTTTATAAGTGAAACAATTCTAAAAGGGTTTTTCCATGGATATAGCTTATTATTTTGGTGAAAAACACATCTATTGATTTCAATTCCATGTGCATTGTGTTAGTGCTCTGTGACAGAAGCCATGTTGGATGGTGAATTTATGAAGATAAATAAGACACAACCTTTGTATTCAGAGTCTGTGGTGAAAATAAATGTGTAGCTCTTTTGACTGAGGAATCACAGCGTGTGATACCTAGTTATATATTTTTTTAATCTAATAATTTCAACAATTGTTCTCTGTCAATGACTCTTTGCTATTAAAGACGGATTCATTGAGCGTCACGTCAATCCATAGGACTCTTTAACCAAAACCAAACTCGCTTTAATAGAATTGATTCTAAATCATAGCAAGCCCCATCAGGTTTCCAAGACAGGATATCTTTAGGGAAGCAGACTTTCTCATCTTTCTTCCATAAAGCAGCTGGTGGGTTGGAACCACTAATCTTTTGGTTAGCAGTCAAATGTTTTAAACACTAAACCATCATAACTCCTTGACAATGATTACTTTTATACTTTTCAGGTAAAAGCCTTGCACCTAAATCTGCAACTGCAGATTAATTCACCAGGGCAGTGCCTGTTGTACTATGATAAATTCCAACATCTTTTGCATCAAACATGAGAAAAATATTTTACATTATGTGTCAAACCTTTTCTGCCATTTATCTGGGCTAGTTGAGAGAAAAATATCACATAATATAACCATGAAGGTAGAATTATTTCTTAAATTTTCAGGTAAAATAAACTTTTAATTTTTTTTTTTTTTTTTTTTTCCATTTTCTATTTTAGATGGCTTGCTCTACCTGGGTTGTTCTCTCTTGTAGAAAATTCTGTTATTATGGCACCAAGGCAATGAACTGAGAGAGCAGTTTAGATTTGACTTAGGTTAGATTCATGTTTTACCAACATAAATCTTACCACTACATTATGTGGCAAATGTATGCCTATGTCAGTATCCTATTGCTGTCATATCAGACAGGTTTGGGCGAAGTTTATATTTGACCTGGCCATCATGAGTTATTCAACATATACCTGCTATGTGCTTATTATAATTTTTCCAACATGACCATGAAACATATCTCATATAATATTTCATAAATTGCAGACACTTGGATATTTTGATCTTGTTCAATGCATAAAAATATGACTTTTCAGGAGTATGACGCTGGTGTTTGATTATTTTTTGTGTGTTGTGAGTGGAACTTTAAACAAGTGATTATGTGCATACTAATTCATAATATAGGGAAACTAATTCTAAGCCTAGGACAAAATGTATAGATGAACAGTACGTGATCCTTGTCGAAACAGTTTGACCATTATTTTGATGGAATTATTATCAGGAGCTAGAGAAGAGTTCCTGTATGAGCTGGGTTGCAAAGTAGTTAAGTACATGGCTGCTAACCAAAAGGTCAATGGTTCAAATCCACCCACCACTCTGTGAAAGAAAGCTGTGGGAGTGAGCTTCCTTAAAGATTTCAACTTTGGAAAGCCTATGGGGCAACTCTATATTGAGCTATAGGGTCAATATTAATAGATGGCATCGATTGCATAGCAATAGGTTTGTGTTTTGGCTTGTGAATTTGGTGGTTGGAGGTGATACTTACCTGAATTTTGAGAGAGAAGAAAGAATTAGTCAAATCCAAAAGAGAGAAATGCATGTCAGGACAATGAAGCAAGTATAAGAAGAATAAGAGAGAGGTGAATGCTAATGACTGAGTTTGACATAATATACCCTGATACAGATACTCAGCAACAGACTATTTTCCTCTGTGTTGATTATGAATAGAACTAGGGATTAAATATATTTCCATAACAGGGCAGGAGACTGAAAGTCCATCTCAATCATATACCATTCTCTAGTGACTGACAAAGACCAAAGAAAAAAACAGTTTTTCAGGAGGTTATTCTGTGAACACAATCCCTCAACTCAAATCCCACCAGACAAGAATGTTTCTTTAAGTATCTTTAAGGCTGGACAAGAGGTGTTACCAAGGGCATTGGAAAAGGGAAAATATGTACTTTTTTAGGAGATCCAGTGGTCATATTATACCTTCACCAAATTTGAACTTTGCTATATAATATTTTTTGGAGAATGAGAATACTGAAAGCAATTATACACAAATACCAGAAGGCTGGTAGTTCAAACCCAACAGCCACTTCTTGGAAGGAAGACTGGGCAATCTAGTTCTGTAGAGATACTGCCTTGGAAATCCAAAGAGGGGTCACTATAAGTTGTAAATAACTGGATGGCAGTGAGTTTAGGATATATTTTTTTTTTAATTTAATGAACAAAATATGTGATCCTTAAGTACCTAATTTAAAAGCTGGTGTTATGCCTCTTATGCCTGATAAGATCTCCTTCCTCCTGTAGTAAGCAGTTTGTTTCAGGAAAGAAATACTTCCTTGCACAGATGTTGTTGTTGTTGTTGTATGCTATCGAGTTGGACTCGACTCATAGCAACCCCTCCTTGGGTTTCCGAGGCGGTATCACTACGGAAGTAGATTGCCCAACCTTCCTTCCAAGGAGTGGCTGGTGGACTTGAACCACCAGCCTTCTGGTTAGCACAGATAGTGGCATGCAATGCCTGCCATCATTCAAATGTGATTTTTTTTTTTTTAATTTATGAATGAGATCAGTACTCAAAGTGAGGAAGAGACTGCTGCAGTAGCTGGTTTCAGAGAAAGTATAGGAAGAATTAATAGAATGAGAATAATAAAATCTTGTTAATACTATACTCTTGGAACTCTGCTTGGCAGTCAGAGATAATGAAGTATTCTCTTTACCATTTCTCCAGCATTACTCAATAACTGTGTTAATGAACTTTTCCATGCACAGAGTATCCTATACATTTCTCCAGCATATCAAATTATGAACTGATATTTTAAGGTAAGGATACATAAAACTGTATGAAGATGAGATACTTCTTATTTACTAGAAAGTCTGAAATAAAGGCTGAAGACTCTTTAAGAAGAAAAGTATTGATGGTTATAATGTTACAGATATTCCCATGGAGAAAGAGTTGAATATGACCCTCTGGTCTCTTCTCAGAGATGATGGATGTTTCAACAAAAGAGTGCTATATAGAGTGGCTTAATTAGCCTCAATACAGTGGGTAAGCTACTGTAGAAGGTCGGGGGGAAAAGTAAAGACAATGAATTGGGCTTCTTTTCTTCTTTTTTTTTCTGGAAAGCATTTTGTTAATATACATCAAATAACTTCAAATGATTATGAAAGTTTCATTCAGTAATTTCTTTTAGAAATCTATCCTAGAGAAATAATCATATATGAAAACAAAAATTTAAGCACAAAAATTGTTCATCATGGCATTATTTTAAAGAAAATAATTGGAAATACTCCCATATCTAATAATTTTAAAAGTTTAAATAAAATGTCTTTAAATGGGAGCTCTGGTAGCATAGTGGCTAAGACACTTGCCTGCTAACCAGACGTCTGGCGGTTCAAACCCACCAGCCACTCCTCGGAAGGAAGGTTGGGCAATCCTACTTCCGTAGTGATAACTGCCTCGGAAACCCAAGGAGGGGTCGCTATGAGTCGGGGCTGACTCGACGGCACATAACAACAACAACATTGTGCACCATTTAAAAATTGTATTTATAATTTGATGACTGGGGAAATATTTTACAAATATGGTCTTGCATAGCACGAGCTAGAAGGAAATTGTGTGTACAAGTGTGTATGACTGTGTATGTACATGAGGAGACAGAGAGTAAGAAGAAATGCATCAGTATAAAGTTTCCAACAATATTCCATGAGTGTTTGATTGTTAGACTGTTTTTTTTCCCCCAACGTTCAACATTTTATTACAGTTCAAACCAGCATGTGCAGTTCATTTCAGCTCCTTCACTGCCAAACCCGGAGGCAGGGACTGCCTCAGCTTCTCTGCCTTCTCTTTGTCGGTGATGACCCAGGTGTAAAGATATCTGCTGCAGCGAACCTTAAACTTCACGTTTTCCTTATTTTTCTTGATCTTGATGGATTTGGTATCCTTCCTCCTGGCTGTGAGCAGAAAGTCCTTGATTTCCTCAATTTTGCAAGCATGGTGACAAGTGGCACAAGGAAGCTGACACAGACCCACACAGCAAAGAGTTTGAAGCCAGGAGGAGGGAAGAGATTGCTAGACTTTTTGTCTTCCTCTTTAGACTTTTATGCCCTAATTTACAAATCATCCACTGTGAGTATTTTATATTTTTACACTTAGGAAAATTGAGCAGTTTGGCAATGTTGTTGTTATGTGCTGTGGAGTAAGACCCAACTCAAAGCAAACCCTCCTTGGGTTTCTGAGGCAGTATCACTATGGAAGTAGATTGCCCAACCTTCCTTCTGAGGAGTGGCTAGTGGATTTGAACCACCAGCCTTCTGGTTAGCAACCAAATGCCTTAGCCCCTACACCATCAGAGATCCCCTTATATGTCCCCAATTATCTGTTACTCCTCCCTAAGAGAGGATCATCAGGTGTGAGTCTTTGACTTACTTTAGTTAGTGGAATAAGAGCAGAAATAGCACTTGTCACCGCTCAGAATGTCTAAGACAGCTTATGTGGTTCTGCCATGTGGTTATTCTCTCAGACATGAGAAGAGAAATGTCCCAGACAAGTATTTCTCCTTTAGCATGGATCTCTGAATGAAGAGGTCATGTAGACCAGAGTTACAGGAATCTACCTTGGCAGACATAGAACATGAATGAGCATTCATCCCTTTGTGTAGCAAGACACTATCTGCTTCTCACCACAGCATATCAAAGAGAATATTGACTAATAAATAAGCTATGCCATTAAATGTCATGTATAAGAAATTAGTTAAATGACTGATAGGCTATCTATTTTAGGTTAGTTAATCACATACACTCAAATAAAAACAAGTTCACATGTCCCAATAGCAACACTATAAAGACTATCAAACACAATTTCTCTTGCCTTACTAACTTTTTCCAGTTATTTTATTTTCAATTTTGCTGACTAGACACTAGAATAGGGAGCTCTGGTGGCATAGCGCCTAAGGCATTTGACTGCAAACCAGAAGTGTGGCAGTTCAAACCCACCAGCTACTCCTTGGAAGAAAGATGGAACAATCTACTTCCATAGTGATACTGCCTCAGACACCGAAGGAGGGGTCGCTATGACTCAAAATTGACTCAACAGCATATTACAAAAGCAACAACAACAAGACACTAGAATTAATAAAATATGCTCTCTATCTTTACTTTGTTGCATTAATTCTTAACCCTTTGAAATAAAATTTCCACTTCTGCCTAAATGGTCATTTTTTTTCTTCAAAATTTTAGTATTTTGAATGTTACAAGTCAGTTATTTTATACAATATCCTTAGATATTTTTAAATGTTTTCTCATGATTTTTTGTTTTGTTTTCATATTTTTTTCTTCTTAATAAGTGAAGAAGCACACAGTATTAGTTGTTCCATCATTGGTGCTGTTGACTTCAATCGTTTCGTAAAAATGATATTTATCAGAATTCTCCATTGTAAACCTGCTATTCTTCCATTTGCAATTAATGTGTTTCTTCTAGGATGATAGTTTGAAACCATGGAAAGATCCTTGTCCTCATCAACCATCCATATTTTTAGTATGGATTAATGATTTTGTCTGAATCTATTATTACTAAGATGGTTGCCAAAAGGTAATTTTCCAATTCCATCATTTATCAGATTTATAGTTGTTGTCCTACTGAAAATGAAGTTTTTCCTTCTCCACTTATTCCTTAATTATGTTAGAATAGAGGAACCCTGATGGTACAGTGGTTAAAGCATTCAGTTATGAAATGAAAGGTTGGTGTGGTTCATCCTACCAGCCACTTCTCAGCAAAAAGAAATGGCAGTTGCTTCCATAAAGATTTACAGCCTTGGAAACCCCGTGGAGTTGCTGTGAATCAGAATCAACTCAATAACAGTGGATTTGGGTTTTGGGATATTTTAGTTTTATATTAGAACAGACAGGTATGTTTTCCATTTCTTTCTTCCCTCCTGATCCACCAGGTCCCATAGGTTCAGGGCCCCTTTGCACCCATCAGCTAACTGTGTTCTGGGCACATTAATTGTCAAACACCATAGGGATGTACTCCCAGTGGATGGCAACTTTAAGTTTGGTAAAGGAGATTCAATCCTTCAGGTTTCTCCAGAACTGAACAAAAACCTCACTGTGGTTCTGCCATGTGGTTCATCACTGTGAATGGAGGAGGCTAGAATGGAAAGTATTAAATTTTCCTCACAGATCAGTGCAGGTGAGAAGTGGGTCTCTGCTTCACTTACTTCTGTAGATAAGAGGGAAACTTAGCCAACTGCTTGGGTCAATACACAAAAGCAAATGACCAAGAGAATAACACTAAGGAAAAGGAAGACACATAAAAGTGCAGAACAGGTATAGACAACAAAGATAAACACATTTACAGACACAATACTGCACTATCAATAATAACAAACATCAATCTATAGGTAGATACATAGGTAGACAAGCTGAATGATCAGGTACAACTATGCTTTTGGGAATATACCCATTAGCCTACGTAAGTCTGGCAGATGATATTTCTACATATGCATTTGTATATGCAATAAGAATATCCATATAAATAAAACTAGCAGAAATAAAGTTATGATAACTTCTTAGGCACAGCTGACCACCTTGAAAGAGTCAATTGTTGGGCCTGTGGACTTGGAAGCATGGCCATGGGGACATCAAGCCCAATAACATACTACACAAAAACATTGTTCTATATTCTAATTTGGTGAATAGTAACTGGGGTTTAAAAACCTTGGAAGTGGTCATCTAGATGCAACAATTTTTTTATTCCTCATCCAGAGCAAAGAAGAACAAGGAAAACCAAAGACACATGGAAACAGTTAGTCCATGGGACTAGCAAATCGTGTGAACTTCAGACTACCTGACTATCAGACCAGAACTAGATGGTGCCCAGCAAACATTGTCAACTACTTGAAAAGTGATCAAAATAGGAGATCCTGCATAGAGAGGGAGCATAATGACAAGGGCATTTGACTGCTAAACAGAAAGCTGGTGGTTGAACAACAGTGCCACTCCTCAGAAGGAAGATTGGGTAATCTACTTCTGTAGAGATATTGCCTCAGAAACCCAAAGAGGGGTCGCTATGAGTTGTAATTGACTCGAAGCTCAAAGGCAACGAGTTTTTTTTTTTTTTTTGATAGAGAGAGAGAAAAAATGTGTAACAAAACTCAAAACACGGCTTATTGGTTTGACAGAGACTGGTGAAACCTCTAAGACTATGGCATCTAATCACCCTTCAGGCCTGGAATTGAACTCATTCCTGTGGCTTCCAGCCCAACAATAGACAGGCATATAAGGTGAACATTTACCCAAGGTAAGTACACGCCTTAGAACAATGAATCATGGGAGATCAGAGGGGTACTATTTGCACAGGGAGATAGCTCAGAGGCAGGAAAGCATAGGAAAGAAAGACACATGGAAAAAGTAACCACAGGGAGCAAGTGGGAAGACATCTATTAAATTATGGGAATTTCAGTCAATATCATGAAACAAAATGTGTGTGAACTGTTGTATGGAAAATGAATTTACTCTGTAAACTTTCATCCAAATTATCATCATCATCATCATCATCATCAAAACACTGGAGTTGCTAATGTAAATGGAAAAGACTAGAAAAGGGATTTGAGTGATCGTTCAATATTTTTTGGTATGGGCTCAGTTTTTTAGCTGGTTCTGATTATCAGTGGAATGTTACTCATTATCAAGGCTATATCAATGATGAATGGTCTGGGTCACCTTGTCTCTCATCTGCAGATTCTAGCTCTGATTAGAATGCTCCAGCAGAAAAATGGGGACTTGGGTAGATGAAGAAAGAACTTTACTTCTAAAATTCCAGGAACCAGTTCCTGATGATCAAAATATTTCTGATGATGATAAGGGAAAGGGAGAAGGAGCTCTTCAAACAGAGAAGTTTTAAAAGAAGTGAAGGAGCAAGGTGAAAATAACTCTCTTGAAGGACATGGAAGAATTAGAAAAAGAGAGAAGAGCTTTTGGTGAATACCTCTAAAGTCTTTCCAAAAGAAGAAAAAGCTATTCCTTTGAGTCATAAGCACTAGTGAGTCAGCCAAAGTACTCATCAAAAATAGTCAGCCTACCAAGACACTTCCGCCTGCTGTTTCAACCAAGCCATATGAAATTTTATCAAAAAGTGATTCTGACAAGATTTCTTCCCAAGTGTCACCAATGCTACTAGAGACAGATAACTGTAAGTCTAACATTAAGAAAAGTAGTGCATCTCTTTCACAAATCAAGTCTGAGACTAGTTGGAAATTTTCTCAAAAAATAGAAGTTGAAAAAAGCCAGATGGGAAACACAAACATTTTTTTTTTTTTTTCCCGAATTGGATATGTGTTAGCAAACACTCTCATGACGATTCTGCTGCTTATGCAATACTTTGTGAACATGTACATAGTTGTATATAAATTTCAACCAATTTTTAAAACAGAATGTGGACAAATGGGATCAAAGGAAAGTTATTTTATGAAAAATATCAGTAGAACATACTACAGTGCTGGAAGACATTTAGGCAAGTCTTTTCAATTTAATGAGAATGATCTTAATTTAAGAATATTATCCTACTCTTACAACTGTGCCCTGTTTACAACAGATTTTGCTCTATATCATCGGTAGCTGAAGAATAAAGAATTCTGATCAGAAAGAAGGTTGCCTACAAATTGGTAGGTAATTCTTGGGCCTTATTCATGAAACGTGTACCATTTGAATCTGTTTTATGCTCAAATCAAAGTGTTTTGATCAAATGTGTAATACTCCATATCTTTACAAATTTGTTGGTAACAATTCGTATTAAAGGTTGTGGTAGTTAAATTTGTATGTCAACTTGGCTTGGCCTGGTTGAGTGATTGGGCAGCTCGTGGTAGTTATTCTCCATGATGAAACTGGCAATCAAAGCCATGGTGGGATCTACCACAAGGAGCTGAGTAGGTGCCTTTGGAATATGGTCTGCTTCCTGTATATAAGGAGAAACCTTAGGGACAGTCTCTAGCTTGTGGTATGCTTGGACCCTGCATGTAGCTGTGTCATTGTTCAGCAGTCTGCCATGTTCTACCAACCTGAGGACTTAAAATGAACTTGAATTAATGGACTGCCATGTGGTTTGCTAACATCAAGACTGTGCCTTTTTACTTGTCAACCTTGGGCTTGGCAGCCTCAGCAGCCAGCAGCTGTCTGAGTGAAGAAAAGCCTCTAGCTTCAGTGGGCTGGCAGCTGGAGGCAGAGCTGAAGCCCAAGCCTGAGGGGCTTTCACCCAACCCCTAGAGCTTGGCAATTTGAACTTGGACTTAAAGCCTCCAAATTGTAAGAATAAACTCCTGTTGGTTAAAGTCATCCCATTTGTGGTATATTCTTATCAGAGTAATACTAGGTAACCAGAACAAGGGATTATCAACTGAAAATAAAAAGTTACCTACGTTTGGCTTAATTGAATTGCCATGATTTAGGTTACAATTTTTAAGAAGTACATAAATCATTGAAATGTAAATAAATAAGAATGAATAAAATATGTTTTCATTTCATACTTTTTCTTTTTCTTCCTCTCTTCCTCTCTCCCTCCATCCTGCCTTCTTTCTTCCTTCTTTGTAGCAGAATGGACACATATTTTCATTTTATTCAATGGGATATAATCTTTTACTACCACTATCTGGTTTGATAATCAAATTGTCCAAGCTTGGCCCTTGAGAGGTCCTTCAAAGTGTCTTGTAGGTCTTTTACTGTGTCTCTATGACTCTTATTTTTCAACAACAGAACAAACTGTTCCCACTGCCTTTTGGACTTTTCCTGCCTTAGATGTGAAAGCAGCCATTCCCCCGTCCCCTACCCCAGCCCAGGATCCCTGATTCCTTTTGCTAGAGAAAGATATTCAGAAATCTATATGTGGATTTTAATGCTGTCCAGTGCCAGTGGGGTGTTTCTACTTCCTGGCCTTCTCAGTGAACCAAGACAGAAAATAATAACATAAATATTTTGCTATTTCTATATTCCTATTTCTATCTATCTAAACATTGAGTGTTTCCTGATGCAGATACTTCCTATTTCATTTCAAATTAACAGGATTGGGTTACTCCTCCCTTTTTCCATATTTGCAAATCCCTTTAATCTGGTTCCCCTTACACTCACAATGTTTACTTTTTCTGGTCAAATCTATAACACACAGAAGGTAATTTCAGAGCTGCTAATTCATAGAAAATTAACTCATTTCTTAGTTTGTTGAACCACAGGGGCTTTCATGTTGCTATGAGGCTGAAGGCTACCTTACTGGTATTTCAAGTACCAGCAGGGTCACCACTGGTGGACAGGTTTCACTGGAGCTTCTAGAATAAGACAGGTATGAAAGAAGGAAGGGGCCATCCATTTCACAAAAAACTGACCAGATAAAACATTATGAACAGCAGTGAAACACTGTCTGATATATTACTGGAAAATTTTATGAA